CCCAAGGAGGTGAAACTAGGTTTGAAATATTAACATTTCAGTAGAAATGTAAGACTTTTAAGCACTAGTGTCAACCTTGTTGGGTACAACAAACTAAACTAGATGGAAGAAAACGCGGTCAAGCATTGGCATAGCTTTATTAATTCACTGTGTACGTACGTAGTCCATGCACGCTCCCTACCATCTAACTAGGTAAATCATCTCGTGCTAGCTTATTTTCATTTTCATACAAATATAACTGTTAAAAAGTTCCGTATGACGATCTAAATAGCTATTCAATAAGCTCAAGTTAATAGTAGTTTGCGATGTCGGAAATCAGAATGAATGTATTACTAAGCCATCATCAATATGAAGTGCTTCATTCATCAGTGTAAATTTCCTAAACCATGGATAACGTTGTTTAAATATTTTCACTGAAATAAGTAATTTAAATATTTAGTAACATACTATAAACTAGTCCAATCTATTCAATTTGAAATGGATTGGATTATCCTGTTGTTGAAATTTTGACTGAAATTTGATCATTCTTAGTTGTATATGGGCCTCGATATTAGTATTGTGACACGAGTGAGTATAGAAGAGCTGAAATATGGATAGCAGTGGAATCCTCTAAGTGGCTCAAGTGATGGAATTCGAAGAGAACAGTATTAGGTTCGAGTCCCAAATAGGACGAAATATGCGTTCTGGATTCCACTGTAAGACACCTATTTATCCTACACTAATCAATGTATATTTAGTTTCCCGTTAAAATCCTTCCATCTGTCAAGAGGAGTGTAACTAATATGGCGCGAATATTTAGGTTTCTATTCATGTTAATTGCTATTACCACATAGTAAATAAAGTATAATTGTGTTGTGGAGTAAATCATTCTTTTAGTTTTAGTGTTGTAGAATGTTATGGGGAAATAATAATACACAATTCGAACTAGAATACAAAATTATTAGTGCTTAAGTGTAGCTTAAAAAAATAAAATATCAAATGGAGTCGACAATATGAAAAACGAATCCAGGAATGACATGTTTGGTGAAAACATTGAGTGAATATAGTTAGGACCTATCCGAGAAGAATGATTTTCTTTCAGTTGTACAGAATTGCAACGCTTGCATCAATGTTGTTAATTTGTTTTTGTAGAAGAAACTTGTTGAAATACCACATTCTGAGTATTCTAGGTTGTACCAAAATATAATATTGAATTAAGCCATTGATAATAATAATGGGTGTCAAATCATATCTTATAAGTCCCTTTAAACATCCATTTCAAATGATTTTGCATCAAAATCAATCAAGTAATATAGTTATATCAGAATGGGGATTGGTGGAGATTGTAGTAATTTTAATAGTTAAATTCATGAGTCGGTTTAAGTTAGACCACCATTGAAAATCTGAAAGCATTGAACGGCCATTTCGTCCTAAGCGTTCGCGTGCGAAACCGAAGGTCTTGGGTTCGAGTTCCACGTGTGGGATCGTCGATACGCACTGTTGAGGAATCTCATATAAGGACCAAACGAACATCCAGTGCTTCCAGGTATTTACTGGTGGTCTAGCTTAGATCGACTAATGATTTCAACTATTAAAATATAAAAAATATATAACGAAAAATCATCATAAATTTCTGATACCCCAGTGGATAGGAAATTGAATTTTAATCACTTTTTGTACTAGTGTAAGTCTCTTCAATAGAGGCTAAGTAAATAACCGCCTTCAATTAACATATACTTAAATAGTACAAAGAAACAAAGTAGAATATTTAATGAAATCAAAAACAAATCTGATCAAGTCACTGTCATATCATTCCGGTCAAGGTGACTTGTAAGTGAAACATGTTTGTGTATATGTGTGTATATTAGTGGATATGAGAAAATAAGTGATATTTACAGTGTGATAGAGTTGAGTTAAATTTGTATGATTGTTAATTGTATAAGGTGTTAAATAAAATTAAACATGATTGTTTAGATAAATATTTCAAATAGGCATTCTTTTCTATGTCAACTCAGTGGGAGTTAACAATAATTTGAAGGCTACTAACCTTTCTTTTAAGTTAGAAAAGTCTTTGTGAATTCACTATGCTACTCTGTCACATTTCAAAAATATCACATTTTTTTTCACATCCATTAATATACACACATATACACAGACATGTTTCACATACAAATCACCTTGACCGGAATTATATGACAGTAACATGATCAGATTTGTTTTTGATTGCACTAAATATTCTAATTAGTTTCCTTGCCTATTTAAACGTATGTTATTTAATTATCCTCTATTGAAGAGACTTATACTAGATCGAAAGAATCTCTGAAATTCAATCTCCTTTTGATGGAGTTTTGTTCTCTGAACTGGATGGTTTGGTCGTGGAGCTTTCATCGTTCTTCTGAACATCATCAGCACAAACTTCAGATAGAATTTCCTACCTAGTGGGATATCATAGGTGTTAATTACAACAAAGTATTTGTTTTGTGTGTGTGTGTGTGTGGAAAATGTGACAGTTTATTGTATGATAATTTAATATATTTTGTCCGTAAATTCACAGTTTCTCGTATTTTATTTGTAATGATATTTAAAAATAGAAATAGGAAATAGTTATTTTAAACAAAGAAACTACTGTTGTCAATTGGATTGGATATAGTTCAAAAACTAATTTTAACTAAACAGGTAGCATTGTAATTGTATGTTTTTTTCGTTATTTGTAATCAAGTAATCAGAGACAAATAGTCTTCTCTATTCATATCTTTAATACATAACTGGTCATTAAGAGTCGAAGATACTCGTAAGCTACTAGTATTTGACAACAGATGCCTTAGAAGTATTGCTGGCATCTGATAGGATCACCGAGTAAGTAATAATGAGGTTAAACACAAGGTATTAGGGAACGATGGTGAATCGTTTGATGAGGTTGTCAATCTTCTTTGACTGAGATGGTTGAGTCACGTGTTACGTATGCCTGAACACCGATTACCACGGCGCGCAATGCGGACTAGTGTTGGAGACGACTGGACGAAAGTTAGGGGTGGCCAAACCAAAACGTGGCATCTGTGCTTGAAGTCACTAACTTCTAGTCTGAGCCATGTTGGTAGATGTAGACTATTTGGTTGGGGTCTGCTTGACTATCTTAACCAATGGTTGGAGACTCTGGGTAACATGGCTCAGAATCGATCACAATGGCGTAGGTGTATACACTCTCTGTCTTCCCTTAAACTATGAGACTAAAATTATTTTATATCTTTCTATCTACGTATTAAGTCTTTCTTCCAATACTATATCCTTATTTGCAATCTTTCTTTTATATGTTGCCACCATTGAATTACTACTTCTATGAATTCGTTGTTCATCTTGTAATGCTAATGCGGTATGGCAACTTGAACCGATACATATATGTGCCTGGTCCTACTTTGTAGCTGACTAACTGACTGACATAACTGATGTATAATGACAAAGTATTTAGATTGCACATCACCATTACAATCTTTCATTAGCTTTTTAAAGCCTAATTTAAAAAAGGATTATAGACCTAATAAAAAAAGTAGTAAATATTTGTGAGTTACACTAATCAATCGCGAATTCACTTCACTGATGGATAGCGATCAACATAAAATCTATATCCAGGGATTTTTGCTACTAGTCATCGAAAATATTATTTTTTGCATTAAAATGAGTATTAGGTGAATAGTTTTTTTTTTTTAGAAAATTAGATTTCTGCTAAAATCATCTAGTTCCCAATATAGTGGATGATATATGACATCGTCGAAACAAAAAATTACAAATCAAAGTGATGTGTAAAACCTACTGTTTACAATTAGTTACCACTAATAGGTAAGGTTAGATTAATTTGATCTGTAAATGGGGATCTGTGTATTTAAAATCACTGATCATAAAATAACTAAAAGCAACTGAGAGCATATATCTCATTAAAATTGCATGTACGTCCTGATAATGTGCCAGCTAGTGTTAAACCAAAGCCCTTGGTTTTATAACAACCACCTCCATCGATCTTAAATTAAGATATTGTGCAACGCTAAGTTAGTTAAACCGGTAGTTACATTACAACTTGATCGATAGAATCTGATCAGCACTAAACTACAACACAAATGTGACATTGACCACTAGTCAGTAATCAATATATATATATATATATGACCGTCCGGTGCTTCCAGGTTTTCAATTGTGTTCTAGCCTAGATTGACTCATGAATTCAACTGTTTATTTGACAACTTTTACAATATATTGTCCTCTTCCAATATTCGACTTAAAAAGACATAGGATAGAAAATAGTAGGGAGTGGATGAGATATTTCTTATTATTTATCAGTGTTACTCAGTGAAGTCTGTCGTTACTTATTATTATGATGATGACTATTTTTATGTCAATAGAGTAAGACCACAGATGTTCAAATCTAGTTCTTTAGTCTAGACAAAATGTTCTTTGATTTTTAATATACAAATTTTCTAATGTTCTCAAAACAGTTGTACCTGTAATTTGATGTTACACTCTAAAAAAAAACAAATGGAATTTACTAATCAAGTTCAGTTTTTCCCATTTGATTTTCATGTAAACTTAAACTATTACATAATAACTAATAAGATTATTTAAATATCGAAAACTTCTGTATAATTTAAAAATCAGATTTGAATAGAGCAAGGACAAACATTGATGCAGAATAGTATGAATTCATATTATTTCGAGGTTTCTCGTCAGCTGCTTACAAACCAAAATTGTGATAGAATTTTTTACATGGAGATAGATATCACAATTTTGGTTTGTAAGCAGCTGACGAGAAACCTCGAAATAATATGAATTCATACTATTCTGCACCATTATTTGTTCTTGCTTTATTTAAATTCATAAAGGGAACCAATTGCATGAAATCAGATTTCAATTTGTGATAAAATAACTGATAATTGAATTTAGTTTAAATCATGTAATAACTAGTTAAACAAAAATTTATTCATATACATTGAAACACTATGGTATGAATGAATATTAGTCAATTGAAAACTTACAATTTTAATCGCATACCAGCAGTTGCAGCTAAATAAACTGGTGTACGCTTTTTTTGTTCAACTGTTAAACTAGCTGTTAATTTAGAAAGTTTCGGTTTTAATGTTTCATAAGCTTTAATTGGTTCATGAATATAAGCTGATATGCCAGGAGCTGGATGATAACGATTAGAAAGAAAAAACAAACAAACAAAAGTTCTCATTATGATATTAAATAAATTTGTCTTCAGTTTAAAGTTTCTCTTATAGTGTCTAGTGTCAAGAACATAGATTCTAGTAGAATAACATGAATTCATTTTATTTCGTCGGCTCTAGTCAATTGCTTAAAACCTGTAATATTCAAAAATCATAATTACAAAATGGGTTTAAATTACTTAACTGAAAATATTTAGTCGGAAGTTATGTTGAAGATTTATTAGTATAGTAAGGGCGTAAATAAATAAAATAGGCTGAATGTTGTAAACATATACCTTACGTAAAAGAAAATATAGTGAAAATTCCCATTTTGCCATTTGGTAATTAAAGAAGGAACGAATTGAGCGAAGAAATTTCTTTTCAATTAGTTTTTCTTCATGGCTCTACACTAATATATATATGATTTACAATGATGATATAATGCTCATCGAGTGGATACGTTACGTAATAGTTACAACATTGATTGCGACAACAGTTCAAACGGTTAGAAACAAATGATTACATAATGAGTGAACGCTGATAGGAATAAAATGAATAATCTGGAAGATAATTAAAATAAAAACTCAATGATGTAATAAATACAAGAAGAGTTTTTTTAAAAATGTTTAAGATTCAACGAAGCAGTAATTGTCACCAAGGCAAGGGAAGGTTAATAACCATCTCCTTTTGAACACATAAATCAGATTTTTGACGCCTGATAGCAACGGCTTCAGAAAACTTTAGAAGATTGCAAGGTATCGGCCTGATGTTCTGCATCCAAGAGATGTTAGGTAATTACATTGTTTAGAGTCATTTTTCCTCTAGTTCTAAAGCATTTTGGAACATGTTCAGAAAATCGAAGATATACTCTCCTTTCTATTCGGCCAATGTAGCTGCTCTGGCAGGTTTATTAAATTTATTTACGCCCTCACTATACTGATATATCTTCAACATAACTTCCGACTAAATACTTTCAAGTAAGTCATTTAAACCCATTTTGTAATTATGATTTTTGAATATTACAGATTTTAAGCAGTTGACTAGAGCCAACGAAATAAAATGAATTCATGTTATTCTACTAGAATCTGTGTTCTTGTTCTTTTCAAAACAATAAAGCGAAATATGTGAACGAAATTTATATTTATCATTGGTAGGTCATTGAAAACTCGACACTGTAGGAGAAATTATTCATTTTATTATCGAGGCAGTTAATTAGCAGTACAAAATCACAATCCTCTTCTTCTATAAGGAGTTGTACCAAAGATTTTTGGATCGTATATTGACCATGATAAATATAAACCTGAAATGATGGGAAAAGTCAAAATTCGATTGATTTACTCTTTATAATTTTTAGTCAACATTACTTCCGTTTTGATTCAATGTAATGACTATTCAGTGTAGTATTTGTTTTGTTTTCCCATATGACATTTTATACTGTATAACATACGATATTCTTGTATTAAGTTAACATGAAGCATATGATTTGTCATAACTATGTATTTTGCATATATGTGATTTTATTCTAATTATTAATCAAAATGAGTGAGTGTATTTTTGACTAGGGTTGTCGTCATTGTGTTTCGCGCTTACTAGCAGAGTTCAGGAGTCGAATCTGGCATTCAGTCTAGAAGATATATCAAGACCAATAAGTTTAGGTAAAGTGATTCAAATTAGAACCTTCAGTTAATGTGTGATCCAGTGTAAAGAATCATTCAGCTCCATAAGTGACATTCGTTTCAGTGAGATGATAGGGAAAATCTGTTGATCAAGAAGTTTTTAATGATATTCCGTTTACTGATCGAAACAGATTAAATCACTTTCAGCCAGCAGTAGATGAAGAAGTTGAACAATATTGTTATATCTTTTGCCCCGTCAATAATCGCCTGACAAGATCGCGAATCAGGATCCGATTTATACGACCATGACCCTGTGCCAAACCAATGACGCGTTAACCAGAACGAGCAGCTTAGAGTCAACTTTGAGTTCTTATTGGTTATTCTTGCCTTGCCCTGCCCGTTTAATTCAGAACACAATCTCAGCTTCCACTGTCTGAATCGTTTATTTCATACATACGCAGTCTATATACAAGCAAAGTGGACCGCATCACACCGTAACATTGAAAATAATGCGAGATCAAGCCAAAAGTGTCTGTGAGTGTGAAAGACTGTGACTAACAAATCGGGAATAAGTTAAGAATGGCAAATTGTATCTCAACAACAAATCGGTCAAATGAAAGGAATACAAAAATATATATTCTGGTTATTTAGTAATTATCCAATAAGAATATATGTAATAATCGTCCATAAATGATTCCTATCAGTTACCATTCATTTATTCTTCGTTAGAATATAACAGAGAGATGACAACTCGACAAGTTGATTTATATTAGAATCCAAAGTACTATTTTCTTTACAAACTACTGTGTTATAGTAGTAAAAAATTTTATCATTCAAAAAAATTTCAGTAGAATAATGTTTAAAAGTGTACTGTATATTGCTTTGAGTAAATTTCAGTTTTAAACAACTGATGCACTTTATTACAATGGATAATTAGGTGAATAATACTATCAACAAATACACATTAAATATGAGGCCAGTACTCTTGTACAGGAGAAAGGGTGCAGTTTTTAACTGTGACATCCATTTAACCAGATGACAATCTAGTAGTCATAGATACCTGAGATGATATAATAATACGTAACTTATAGTTTAGAGTCACCGACACGCTAATGAATATTTAATGATACACGATAGAAATCTACTTAGTATTTCTATCATACTGGAATACAGACATACCTTTTGGCATTATAAAACGAACTAATTTTATTTTAGACATTGTTTAAGTAAGCAAACAATATCCATCTTGATTATCTATGCTCCATTGATTTTGAAACATTATTTTACGCAATAATAGTTAGAAATTGAATAGTTTTGATCAAATTTATTGGTTAAATAAGATAAAATTCAAAGGTTTTTGGATTATAAGTTTTATCATACACTTTTAAAGTGATACAACACCATATGTACAATGATGTAAAGAATTAAAACTTAATGTCTGAAGGGTTAACTGAAGTCCTGAATAACCAATGATTCAAAGACCTTTAACCGAGTGTAGAAGGCAAATTAACTTAATGATAGTAGCTTTATTCATTACTGTAAATTTTAGTTCAGTAAAGAATTCTTAGCGTCAGTTGTTCAGTATTGGGAAATAGTTCTAATTAGCATACATTTACATTATAATTATTCAAAAATTACATTCTACAAATGATTTTCTTAATAATCAATAGCTTCTGCTCCTTTTCAGCAGAGATTACCCTGTGGTGTTGGTTACTATGTTAAACCCATATAACTTATTCTAGCTTCTGAACAGGCCAAATGATCCATTATTTTTGAGTCACGTTTTGACCTTGTTGATTATTCACGTAGCAACCTTTACTGTTATTATATGAGCGTATGTGTATGTACATCTTATCCTACTCATCACATGTTTGTAGATTATTTTTGTGTGACTATAAACATCGATTAACACTTGGTTAAATGCAGATGGCTCACACGCTTTCTCTACTACGCGTCCTTTTGTTTCGCTTAGCTTTCTCATCTTCGCCATGTCTCTCTGATTGTTTATTCCGACCAACTAGTGTACAAAATATACTCATTCAAACATCCATCCCCTTATTTGACTTATTTAATTTCGTTATTCACTAACGCAATCTAGGTCGATAAATATATACGAGGATTGACGATATGTTATCAATAACGATTAGTCATTTCACTCGAAAAAAATAAAGAAATGGCCGTGCAATTAATGTTAACCATATAACTGGAGTCAGATCCCGGACAACTAAAGTGACGAGCTAGTCGATAACATAGTCCGCTTCCTGGATTCCACTGCTAGCCACTATCCATCTTTGCTTATAATGCTTGTAAATTAAGGCAATATCGAGGCATACGCACAGTATTCATATATGCCAATAAGAGGCTGATCAATTGCATTCGTAAACATTAATGGGAAGATTCAAGTAAATAATACCAAATGAATTCAAACTTTACCCCATTGCACAAGCAAGTGGCTGTCAGGACTCAGTAGCTAAGTGAATAAAGCAATGGCGTTTGAAGAGAATGGTACTGGGTTCGAGTGCTGAAGTGAACATCAACTTTGAGATGTAGGTACATCCAGCTGACGAATCCTAAATAGGATGAAACACGCATCCTGGATTCCACTGCTAGCCACTATCCATCTTTGCCTATAAAGCATTTATGAAGCCTACACAATTAAATGTAGTTTAACGTTACATGTAGAAATATAATGAGATTATGGAATATTAAAGATAATGAGATTAGTATCAGAAGGGGTTTTGTGGAGACTGTAGTATTTTCAAAAGTTGAGATCATGAGTCAATTGAAGCTAGACCACCATGGAAAACCTGGAAGCACTGGACGGCCGTTTTGTCCTATTGTGGGACTCCTCAGTAGTATGTGTGTCGCTCGATTTTGTGGATTAGTTGAAGTTGGACAATAACACCGTTGGATGCCGACTCAGTGGCCTAGTCGGTTAAGCGCCTGGCGCGAGACTGATAGGTCGTGGATGCGCTCTACCGAGGAGTCCCACAATAGAACGAAACCGCCATCCAGTGCTTCCAGGTTTTCCATGGAGGTCTAGCTTCCATTGACTCATGATCTCAACTGTTGAAATAATCAAATTAATCAATGGTAGTAGACGTTTATGTTCTTTAAAAACAAAGTGAAACAATATCGAGGCAATACACACAGTATGCACATATGCCAATAAGCGAATGATCAATTGCAGTCTTAAACATTAATGGGAAGATTCAGGTAAAACAATACCGAGTGAATTAAGGTGAAACATTGTTTTCAACAAAATCATTATCAGGTTTGACAGTCAATAATCATTGTATTATAACTGTCAAAATAAAGTACATCAGTGAATTAGACAATGTTGTGTTAAGAATAAATGGTGAGCTTTTGCATTTGATACAGTGTAAATACTTTAGAATCATATCGTTTGTAGATTAGAAAGGTCATTTACGAAAGGTTAGAATGATTCATTGTAAGTTGTTAAGTTACAATCGATGTAATGACAATAAAATAAACCATGTGAATGAAATGCATGGTTGAAGAAATTTAGTCTGATTAGTGGGCGTAATAATAATAAAGTCATGTGAATTTAATATGTAGAGTTGTTGTCAGGGCGATTGCGGTGAGAAATGCATGTGAATTGACAAAAATGACTGTAAATTAAAAATGGTACAAGGTAGATACGAACATTAAGAGAATCAGGGGTAAGGCATTACAACATAAGGTTTAAATATATGGTGGTTCAATAGTGGTGCAAGATAAATATGGAGCTTGAACAAGCATCTTTTAGATACATAAATTAGGTCTTTTAGAGTGGATCCTGATGGCTTTTGCGATGTAGAGGAGTTGCGTACCAATTGACTTTATAATAATGTAACTCCTGGAGTTCTGTTGAGAAGCCGTGACCAGTGGATGGTTTTACTGAAAATGCGTTATCTGAGATGAGTCGTTCAATTATAATGCTTGCATTGCCGTTTAAAAATAACCATCAGCACAAACCTCTGAAGTTTGTACTCAAAATAAAAACGCACTTTCAGCGAACGAAGGATGAATCCATATCCTAATCAACACTTAAACGATTGAATAATCGATAGTTTCGTACAAATGACCAAGATTTACTTGAAACGAAGATACATTGAAAATAAAGTTACTTCAGTTTTATAATACTTAACGCTTATGTATTTTAAATTGAATAACTCTGTGTTCATATAATCATCTTTCCAAGGTCATTAGGGCCACAATTAATCGATAAAACGAAATACAATCATGCACACTAAACTACAGACAGTTTTATGATTTCTTTATGTTCTATAATCCTTGATATGAAATTTTCGGAAGGGAAATTAAATTTAATGATAATGGAGTCAATTTAAACTTTAAGTAATTACTAATAATTAAACGATTAACAATATTATAAGCTATTCCGATGACGGATCGTATTTAAAGATTATGTAGAGAGTGAATAATGATAGTCGTAAGCAATATTGAAGTGGAAAACTTAACAGGAACAAGTTTTTCGTTTTTTACTAAGTGTGATTTACATGTTTCATCGAGTTGATAGGACAACAGTGATGGTAGTATATCAATGACATTAAATTAAAAAAGAATGTACGGTTAATCATTTCAATGTTAAGGGAATATGAAACGGATTTATGAAATGTGTACGAGCAGATAAAGACTCTCTTATACTTAATGTTATAGAGACATTGGAATGAATATTTATACAGTAAACAGTTCGTTAAGTTTTTAATAACAATAAATCACAACGAATCTAGATAAGTTTATCAACCATTCAAAGTCTCTATACGTAGTGTAGTATGTTAAACATCTTTTTTGTTAGGTTACAGTATCTTAGATTCCAGTTCATTCTGTAATAAGTTTTCACGATAGATAATAATCATAAGAAAACTTATTTTACAAATTACTAGTGATATTCTGTTTATATTTTGTAGTGGCAGGTACTATGTCAAGCCCACATGGGCAATTATGGCCTTCGGACAAACCACTTTATTCATTCTTCTCAAGCAACATTTATGCCCTGTCACGTATTCGTTTATCAACCTTGACTGTTTTGATGTAAGCGTATGTATTTTAGTTGCTTACCCTATTTATCGTGTGTCTGTAATTTATTTTTTTAACGCTTGATAAAATCGAGTTGGTTCACTCGTCTTCTCCTCTAAGTATGTTTCGCTTCACTTCATCCGCTTCGTTTCTTTGATTGTCTTGTCCGGATCAATGAGTGTACGAAATATACATATTTAAACTTTATTCTCGCGCGCGAAGCCAGTAGGTCCTGGGTTCGAGCCCCACGTGGTGCAGGATCGTGGATGCGCACTGCTGAGGAGTCCCACACTAGGACGAAACGGTCGTCCAGTGCTTCCAGGTTTTCAATGGTGGTCTAGCTTCAACTGACTCATGATTTCAATCTGTGAAATTTCTAAAATCTCCACAAAACCCATTCTGATAATTATTTAATTGTGTTATTCACTAACGCGGTAAAAGTCGATAATTATAGATAAGGATAGCTGGGATATATATTTCGATGACATAATCATACGATCTAATTGGAGTCAAATGAACAGCTACTAAAATTTTGCATATTTAATTTGTAAAATATGATCGAGTCTACACGAGTAAACTCTTCAACTAACAAAAATATAATGAAATCAATCAATTTAGGTAAGAATAACTGTTGTCATATAAACGTTTACCAACAGTCTGGTCTGATTTCTAATAATTAATCAGATGATTATCATTGAAAGTAAGCAGTAACATTTCTTTTTTAAAAAAAAGGTTAACTAAATTAAATTTCGATTATGATAGAATAAATCACTTACAAACTTTTTCATTAGTTACTTCGTCAACTTTTCCATTTGATCGAAATGGTTCATCGATCCATTTATACAAATGAAGTTTTGAAGAAGTTGATCCTGCATCAATCACTACTGAATACTATAAGATAATAAACAGAATATTATATAAACAAAGATGAATGGAGAGAAAAAATGCAATCGATAAGATAATCCAACCTTATAAAAGATATAATGAACCATTGTGTCAGAAGTTTGAACTCTCCGTTCCATTTATTTCGATTTCAATAACAGAATATCTCGTTGAGGTCATTGTGACGACCATGATAAGCGATTGTAGACGTTGGGTGACGTAGCTCAGAATCAAACACAAATGCACTTCCTGTTTTTTTTCTAGATTTCAAGCAACAGTATTCCTTGATAATATACTACTTAATTCTTTCTTATCTTAAATAATATTCTTTCTCGTTATCTCAATTTCTTTGTTATTCATATTTGTCAATTTTGTTGTGTTGTGATAATGTCGTGTGCAAATTAGGCTTCAGGAAACTTTTGCTAAGAATTTAAGTTAAACACAACTGACTGATACCTGCATAGTGAACTGATTTCACACAATTATTACTCAATAATGTATTAAGTGTAAACAATCTACAATTTAACACTGAGTTGTAGTAATATAAAACAGTAATAATTCAAATGAAATGAGATTATAAAACATTCGGTGAGACTATAATTTATGGATGATCTTTGAGGGACGCTGAAATGTCCTTGAGAGTGGACATCTATTAATTAGGACAAAATGAGGGTTGTAAAGCAGTTAGAATTCTCATTTACAGTTGAATGTTAAGGTTAAAAATTAGATTTAGGTTTTTCATCACGAACTGACAACAGCCCAAATTCCTGACTTGTTATCTTATATCTGATTGGTTCACCCATAAATTATAGTCTCGTCAAACATTCAATAAAAATACTTAAAAGAAAGTATTTTATAACATTAAAACAACAATACTTACCACATCTGGAATGTTATGACTTATAATATACAAGACAATGATAATTATTAGTCCAATAAAACTGATCACCAAAATAATTAAAGCTAATATTTTTAAAATCTTTTGAAGATTAGTATTATGTTCCATTATTTTTCGAGGATCTAATGAAGCATTACTTATCTAAAATTGAAAGTATTCAATAGAATAACACGATAAATACGAAATGACAATAAGTGTATGAAGGAAATGAAGTTTTAATCTTAAATTAAAAGAAATCAAGATATTTTTCAATGGTTTTATTACTATTATTGTTAGTAACATAATAGAGATAGTCATTTATACCAATACACTCTTCATGCATTAGAATGAATTCGATCAGGAAGTTATACAGTGATAATCATTTGAAACAGGATAATATTTTAAAGTAACAAGTAATGGATGATGACTTTTACAACAAATAATTCAAATGAATAATTCTCTTTTTAATTTTCCCATTGATGTTTAGAACTGCAGTTGATCAGTCTCATAGTGACATATGTGTATCCTGTACGGATTGTCTCGATATTGCCTTAATTCACAAGTATTATAAGCTAACGGTATTGAGTTCGAGGCCTGGAGTGAACATTAGCTCTGAGATGCAGGTACATCCAGCCGACGAGTCCCAAATAGGACGAAACGCGTCATGGATTCAATTGCTAGACATCATCTATCTTTGCTTAGATGAATAGGTTTGCATTTTAGAACTTTACTATATTTATTATGAAAAAAGCTTATAATCTACAGATTTTAGCTTTCAAAAATATGAAGATAGTTATCAGTTAAATTGTTTTCTTTTCCCTATAGCTATTTTATGTTCATCAAACGATAATATAGTTTGGGAATACACAATAATTCCTTAGAATTAAGTATGATTGGAATGTAATCGTTTTTATTTGAATTTCAGACATTAAGGTAACAATTAAGTGTTCATTATTCTTATTACATCAGTTGAATTGATTATTAACCTCGCCCTTTAATTATTAATGTCATTAAAAAGATACATCAAATACTTGGGTGACTACCTTCGGTACAAAGATGACTGAAAGACATTTACATCTTGAATCTTGAAACTCGCTTGTATGTTACCCAACCATAAGTTTGTAAAAGAAATTTGCAATCTACATATATCATGATACGTGATGCATCATTTAAATCACATTATTAGAATTGAATCAGTTAATATTTTACAACGTTCATCAATCTGCAATTTCTGGTGATCCACCGTGAAGCTAGTCACATATACTTCTTGATCCTAAAGTTTTCATAGTATGAAATACTTCAACAGAGCATATCTACGACCCTAAACAGGGTATGAAACTCAAGTCTTCGTAAATTTTCACTAGTTCTTTTCAAATAATATTTACATTTTGTGAAAGCCAATTAGAAGTCAATCGATGGGTATCAGGAGTGACGTGAAGGACAAGTGCATTTGATTGACTAAGAAATCGGTCAATTTCCTAAGAATAGAGTCGTATGTATATATGTATATATGAGTATTTGTGCATTTTATTCGGTAGCCAAATACACTTTCTCGGTCAAGTAGTTAGTTAAGAGGTTAGTATGTAGCACACCATGTATCAATATCAGATTTCGGACACCGTCTATCACAACAATTAGACTTGAAATTAAAAGCAACAATATTGGCAAATTAAACTAATCACCTAGAAAAAGCAAATAATCCGTTACTGGTTCTGTTATTTTCGATTATTGTTTATATAGAAAAACAAGTGTTAATGAGATTACAAGAAAACAATATGAAATCATAAATTACATCATACACACATGTGTACATAGATATATATGCACAAAACACACAAATATTTCATCAAAATTAAATTATGAAACTAAATTCAAATTACGCCATTCAATGTTCAAATATGAAAAGAGTATTCAGTTAAAAATACAAATTACGAATTGTAATAGTTATCACAAATAAATTATGATTTTCCTTATGACTAAAGTATGGAAATTATTCTTTGTTCAATGTTGGTATGGTTTATTCTAAACAAGAATGAAAATCAATGGGATACAAATCATTTTCATTAGATTTATTACGAATAATAATCGTTTTCTTCCCTATCTAGTTAGCTAGTCGAAAACATGGAATGTTACAATATAATCTCATATAGATAAATGATTCTAACAGAAAAATACAAACAAACTCGTGTGTGTACACACACACACAATAAACTACAGCTATTTTAACATTGTTTTTTATGATCTTATAAGAAAAAAATAAATATGAATTTGATATTTGTTTCTAACTTAGATCTACACGATCTGATCATCACAGTGATGATATTATCTTGAATTCCAAAAAAAACAACAACAACATTGATCATCAACTTCTTATCTCACAATAAATCTGAATATGCACAAATCCAAAGACATTTTGAGTCAAAAACAAAATAAATCGTTTTTTTTAATAATTTCCATAGTTTCAATTACAAACTAAACTTGATCAGGCCACCACCAATGAAAACATGATATTACATTTATGTAAAATATTGTACTGAAATGAAATAAACACAGAATTATTATGTCACAATCTATGTAGGTAACTTTATTTTTGATAAAAGTCAAATGGATTAGATTAAGGATGAATCACAAATACTATTCAACTGCTATAAAACATGTTTACTTCTTTTCTAATCTATAAGTATTACTACATTGGAGAATACTTAGTAACGAGAACTGAGTACAAATAAATAATATTATGCACATTGAAATCATGAGTCAATTGAAGCTAGACTACCATGGAAAACCTGGAAGTACTGGACGACCGTTCCGTCTTAGTATGAGACTCCTCAGCAGTTCGCATCCACGATTCCGAACCCAGCGAGATTCGAACCCAAGACCTATCATTCTTGCGCCAAGCGCTTTTTATTTTACAAGTTTTGAATTGTAACTAGCAGTGAAAAATAGGATATGCACCTTATCCTATTTAGACCTCGTCAGTTAAATGTACCTGTACCCGATTGTTGATGTTTATATTGGAACTCATCTACAGAAAATCCTTTGCATATAAGCTTAATCATAAACGACAATTCTTTTTTCCATTAAAATCAACAAAAAAATAAACGGTTACTCTTTGTTTATGACTATTTCTCGATATTTCTATCATGTGAATAGAGAGTAATGATGAAATGTTTACAGAGTATTCATTAAATGATGTATTTATTCTTGACAGATACAAAGCTTCAACAATGTTAAATAAAAATATCTTTTGTAGATATATACTTGAAGTTTACTTAGAAAACCAACTATTGACTAACTTAAAATTAAATAAGAGAAAAAAGTCTATGGAGCAAATAAATCTAACATATTTGAGAGAGAAACGAGTCAATATCTGATTTTACATTCTACTAATAAGTTTTATGGTAATTTGTTTTTGTTTAAGAATACCAAAGAAAATAAGATGACCACAATCAACATGGTTAGTTGAAAGCTACAGTAAATAAGAATAATAATCGAGTGATATTACTATGAACAAAAGCAAAGTATCATTTTCATTTCGATTCCTGTTAAAAATGATATGAAGATCGATTTATTTTCTGGAGAAATTATGAAATAGAAAGTAATATGTAGTCTATTGAAGATTTCAGATATTAAAATAAATAAACACAAACATACGCACAGAACATTCGAATGAACAAAGTTTGTAGATAGATGGGAGTTGTCAATGAGTGAATAGTTGGGTTTTACTGTACTGAAGTGTAATGTTTAAAGTTAACGACACACTGACAATCATAGTAAGAAAAATTCACTCTTCAAGATAAACAAATTATCCTTGCATATATATGTTTTACACAGACAGTAATCAACTAATCATTAGTAAATAACTTTGAGATGCTATTTCACAAAGCGTTCAGTGAAAAATTGTGACTGGCGTGGGGGTTTATCCACGTCAAAAGTTTATCATTGACAACTTTTAATAATCACTTGTCTTATTACCAATGTGAACTGTCTATAATTTCAAAATGTATATTATTGAATCCTGACTCACTTGTTTAGACATATTATGCTTAGAGTGAAAAGTGAAGGTTGTGAATTTGAACGTTTAAAGTTGTACGAGAACGCACTGATTTCCAGTTATTATCTCCATATGATGTCAGTCAGTAGTTTGTAAACTATTCATCAACTCGATTTGTGAAATTATTTGACGTTAGCTGTTATTTTCTTATTAAAAATTTGTTACTACATCGACACTATGTTATTTTTCAAGGTTATTTATGGAGTTCTGTCTCATGTGCCCTACGCTTCCAGCATCCGCCTCTTATTTTCAGCGGAAGTCATAGAACACAAAACAGTAAACCTAATCTTTGTGTAAAGAAAATATTTGTACAACATCGTCGTTTACTCTGGCCTTCTACCTAGTTTATCATACGTTTTTTTCAAAATATTTCTTCAATCCTATTTAAGTTTAACCAATCTTTTTCATAATTAGTCTTAATAACTTAATTATCTACCTTTAACTTCTATTCATATCATGAATATTAATTTTAATCTTCTATCTATTTACTTAGCTCTGCCTATAGCCTTTCTAATGTTACTGCTGGTTCCAAACCTGGGTAAAAAAAGGAGAGTTTGGAATCGCGTTAGCAATCTCGTCTTATCAGAAAAAAAACTTTGTTAAATAATGTTAATCAGAAAATAATCCGTTAGGTTACTAACTGATTATATTAATCTTTAGAAAAATTCATTATTAAATTGGTTTGTCATCATTTGTTAAGCATAAATCTTATACTTAAGTTAAAAATCTATATATATTAATATACATAGAGACTTGATGAGGAACTTATTGACAAGAAATGTTTTTCTTTGCTTGACTTGTATTTCTACCATTATAACTTATGAATGGATTACATGAGTTTTCTCAATAATCTATTGAAGTGTACTTACGTGTGCTATGAGATTCTACTGACCGAGTTGACTATCTTGGTTAAATTTCACATAAGTACACATATATGTACATCATAGTTAATCTAACATTCATTAAAAATTGAATCTTATTACGACTGTTTTGAAAAGAACAAAGTTTTAAAAAAAATAATAAGCTGGTAACTATTTAATTTTGATAAATTCTATAAATCGATAGTTTATATAAATACAAATCAACGAAGTGCTTTATAAATGGAAAATTCACTTTATGATGGTAGCAGTATGGTATTTGCTACTTATGTTGACAGATATAAATGTTATGTAACACCAATCAGAAGTGAAGTACATGACAACAGAAGGTTGAGAAGATTAAATTAAAGAGAACAAGAATATAAACAGAAAGTAATTGTAATAACAAAAGAAATGAAGGGACGGCGGAGTTTTTAAGAAACAATTGATTTTTTATATTTTACCAAAGAATTCTGTCTTCCCCCACCTGAATTCTCGTTCATAGCAGCAGCAGTATAGCGAGGTGTGGGTTACTTATATCCATATAAGCAGTATGTAACTGTAGTCAGGCATAGAATGTATTTCAGCAAAAGATCAATAAGGAAAGAACGGAAACGGAACGCAATTGGTATGAAAATGTATGAACAATGAAATCTGAGACAATAGATTGATATTTTGCAAATTAACTATTGATTATATAGTTCTCAGATTTTAGTGAAATGTTCTGTAATTTCTTTTCAAATACATTCGATTGACCCCATTCATGTTCTTTCACTATAATAGTAGTACAATTTGACAAATGCAGAACTAATGTTAAATAAAAAGGAACTCAACTGATCCGTTATATCAAACATCACTACACTAATAATTTCTTGATTTAAAATTCATATTCACAACAAGAAACAACATACATGAATAGCAATATTGAATCTGTTCATTAATTTTGTCAAATTACATATCATATTGGTTATATAAAGAAACAATAAAATGTTTTTGTTTTGTTTTTTCTTAAAAACTATATTACGTGCGCTATTTAAAATTCCGATAAAAATATGGAACATATATATATATATATATATATATATATATATATATATATATATATATATATATATATATATATATATATATATATATATATTGGAATCCAAGTTAATTATGAAGTGAGAACATATTAACTAATGAAAACATTCATCTAGGTATATCACTATCCAACATTGATGCATCATGCCTCTTCAACTAGTCATGTGTTTTTAAAACGTTGTCAACTGATAATTTTTAAAAAAAAATGTTTTTTTTTTGGTGAAAAAATATGGAATTGATTAAAAATGTTGTAAACTATAGTGTAGAGGTACAAATATATTTCATTAATGATAATTGAAATTAGTTAAGAATGGAAAAAGAAATTGATCTTTATGATTCATTGAAAATAACTAATGCAGTCCCACAATAGGACGGAACAGCTGTCCAATGCTTCCAGGTTTTCCACGGCGGTTTAGCTTCAATTGACTCATGATCTTAACTGTTGAAATTACTATAATCTCTACAAAACCCCTTCTGATACTAATCAACATATGCTCACTAGTGATTGGCTTCAAGATATATATCCTGGAGTTCTAGTGAGAAGCAGTAACCAGTGGAGTTCAACCAGGTCTGTTGGGAGATAGGAACTCACTGATGATGGTAGGTGTGTCGCCCAATTTCGTGGATTAATTGAAGTTAGACATTAACACCGTTGGATGCCGGCTCAGTGGTCTAGTTGGTTAAGCGCCTGGGGCGAGACTGACAGGTCCTGAGTTCGAATCCCGCGAGGCGGGGTCGTCGGTGCGCACTGCTGAGGAGCCCCACAATAGAACGGAACGGCTGTCCAGTGCTTCCAGGTTTTCCGTGGCGGTCTAGCTGCAATTAACTCATGATCTCAACTGTTTAAATTACTACAATCCTCGCAAAACCCCTTCTGATTCTATACTAAATTGGACATGTACATTTTAAAATTCACATTGCTAAAATGAAATAATGTCTAAACTACTTGGAATCCTCAAGGCCAAAGGAAAAGAGGAAGACCAAAAGACATATTACATCGAGAAATGCAGACAGATATGAGAAGAATGAACAAAATTGGATAGAACTGGGAAGGTAGGTCCAGGATAGAGTGGATCGGAAAATGCTGGTCGGTGGCCTATGCTTAGTTAGGAGTAACAGACGTAAGTAAGTACAGAGTTGGAATTGAATATTTTACAGTATTAACATCACTTATTTCACGACATACAACGGTTCAAGTAATAAATAATATGCAAGATTATTGATTAATTAACGATCATATAAAACTGAATCTAGCTTGCTGTTGAGGACTTTCAAATGATGTTGAAACAGTTATTTTACTGTTTCAAGTATTTCAATATTTTCTTACATAATATTAATCTATGATAAAACTTGTTCGTAAATTCAAAACACCTTTAATTAAAAAAAACTAGGTTGTCTTATGTTCTAATTTATATTATAAACTTGATCAAGCTGATATTGCCAATCTGTTACTTGTTGATGAAACCCTACAAACATATTCCCTGAAAAGAAGCTTCCATTATATGATATCGAACAAAACATTTGTCTTATATTGACTCATTGAAATAGTAATACCTCACTGAAAAGATCTTAAAGTATCCATGGAAGGATTAAAGTATATGGAAAAGATAAGACGACTTTTAAAATGACCAATCAGGGTATATGTTATGAAAATATTTAGTTTAGAGATGTGGAGATTATCGAGTTTCAATTGAGGTAATGATTCGATCAATGTTAGACTATCAATGAAAACTTGGGAGCACTGGATGGCCGTTTCGTCCTAGTAGAGGCCTACTCAGTAGTGCACATCCACGATCCTGCACGCAGGACTGGAACCTAGGACCTTCAGTGTCAAGCGAACCCTTAACTTACAGGCTGCTGAGTCGGCATCGAAAGGTGTTAACGTCTGACACCGACCAATCTACAATATTTCGTGACCATCTTTCACTGTCTTCGGTGGGTAACTGTCTGACACTCATTGGTCTAGACGTTAAGCGTTTGCGCGAGACCTAAGGTTCCCCGGTTTTAGTTCCACGCGCGGGATTAAATGAATATTACATTTGAACATGATTTATGAATTGTTCTGGGCAGTTTGAAGATTTTCGCGATTTGAAATCAAAGACCTAACTGCACAAGATTAATCCAGACGACTGTTAAACATTTCTCTAACCTAACTCATAAATCTCTAATCTTAAGTGCTAAATTCAACTTGAAATATTTATCTTAAACACTAATTAATGATGTTTTCTCATCATAATCGAATAAAATGGATGAGGTTCACTTTTTTCAATATACGTTCTGATTACATTTTCGTAGACATTATCAAGTATATGAACGACGGTCATTACGCTTATATAACGTTTGCTCCGTAAACTTGAAATCGTAATCTGGTACCTAATTGGTGCATTCCGATACTTTAACTTGGTAATGTTTATTCTATTGTGAAAAAATATCATGTTGATTCACAAATTTCAAGCCTTTTTTTTAATATAACAAAATATTTGTTAAGTATAACATAGTTCTGAAAAATTTTTCAAACATGAGTTAAATCCTGTAATAAAGAGCTGAGGAATCTGCATACTTAGAAAGTTAAGTTAAAGAATTTGGAACAACCGTACAGTGAGTGACACAAGCGATCTTTCAGAATTAATTATCTTACATTCAGTCATGTGTTTTGTGATTATTATTATTATTATTATTATTACAATGAGACATTATGATTATATAATTAGTCATTAAGTAGGAATCATATGATATAATTTTTGGTGTAGATTAAACTATACATATTGTCTTATAATTAATTACCATCTAGAAAACATTTCAATGTTGTAAGTCAAAAATAATTGTCATTATTTCTCATAGGCTTTCTCTAAAATCAGTGGAATGTTTCATCAATATGATAGTGTTTAGTAAAAAGAAAAAGATGACACAGATAACTGATGTAGAAGTGACAAATTTCCCAAGTCTATGCACAAACACATTCACACACAAGCATAAACTAAGGCGAATCTATTAAAAATGAACAATAGTTCATAATGGTTCTAAGTAGATGTGAATTAATAATAATAATAATATTTATTTTAAAGGTTTTACAGTGAAGAAATCGCGGCAACAATTGTGTACTATGGCAATAAATTTCTGTTTAACACGGATTCGAATTACAACTATTCAAAAATTATATAAATGCTTTTGAATACAGGAGTAAAATTCAACTTACACTTTTTCATGAGACTTGTTTTTTTAAATCGATATGAGCAACCGATAGAGACCAGTTTAATCCGCTACTCTACCGTAACACTGGATTATAAATGTTATTACTTGTGTTGGATACACGAGTACATATGCCTATATGTATAGACTGGGATAAATAGGTTGAATTGATTTATGTTTTTTGGGGCGTGGATGTAGTGTATACCTTCTAAATAACCATATAGGACGTCATCTATATATATATATATGCTATGGAATGCATTGGTCTTGAACTCATGTGTTTCTGGCGAGTGTATTGAGCAGACCAAAAGTGCCGAGTTAATTATAAATCACAAAATTGATGTTTAAATGTAGGCTGTAGAATGTGTGAGTCCTAGACGTATGCACTTCTGATGTCCATGTAATGTATAATTACCAAAAAGAATAATATCCATCTTGACCGATCAGTCGTGCTTAATCTATGCACTGCATCCCTGAAGTTTAATGATTCTCCACTGAAAACATATATCCTACCATGGGTATTTGTCCCCCAAGAGTAAATAAACATTATCGCGAATAGTCGACCAGTTTCTCCAAGAACGGTTCACTGTGCTTTATAACTGGAACAGGGAGACCGAGAATGAGACTTTTCTCAATAAGTACTATCACGATCACTGCAAGTTTATTATCAGTACAAGTGTTACAACCAGTTTTTTCATTCATCAGATATCTAATGTATGAAATCCAATATTTTCGCCTTCTGTTTTTTCCTCAGAATATCTCAATAAATGCAGCTTTTCGGTTCCAGTTTTAAACATAGTGATATATTGTAAACTTTTCATAATGCTGTATTGAATATAAATTACTATTGTATTATTATTATTCCGTTCAAACAACTGTAAAACAGGTAAGTTCACCTTAATATTTATACAACTGGAAATTCGGTAGCATAAACTTTTGAGGAAGCCGCTTCAAGTATTACTTATAGGAAGTTCTCAATACTTAAAATTAATTCTACAAAAATCCATTTCATTCAGCACAATGTCAAGTGAAAACAGAAAATCTTATAAAGATAATGAAGGTTTCAGTATGAGGTTGTGAAGAACCACCACTAGAAGATCGTTTCTTCCTGGTATAAGACTCATCATCAGATTACATGTACAATACATCACTCGACATTCAAATACAGGACCTTCAGTCTTGCAGGTAAACGCGTAACATCAAGACCTCTAAACCATTGTTGATAAAGTTCATAATGTAATCTCAAAACTATTGATTTCAACACTTTTATGTAATCAATATGTCACTTATTTATGGATATTTTGTCTTAGAAAACACATAACAGTTGAATTACAACTGAAATTCATGCAGTGTATGATAGATATCATTTTAATGTGTAACATAAATTTGAACATTTATATTAGATAAAACGACATTTAGATTGCTATCAACATAGACAGATTATTAAAGAATAATTTTAAAATTTATTTATAAAGAATTATGGATAGTTAGATAAAAATCAAACAAATATGATACGGATTGGTGATAAGTCTATCGATTTATATTTATAGAGTTTCAAGTAGGTTTATTTCCGATAATTATGAACATCAACTCTGAGATGCAGGTACATCTAGCTGACGAGTCCCAAATACGACGAAACGTGCGTGCCGGATTCCACCGCTAGCCACTATCCATCATTGCTTAC